AATCGAGGATGAATCGTTGGACTCGGCCTCGGAATTCTCTTTCAGATAGGAATCCCATTTGAACGTGGCATTGGAGATTTTTACCGACAAATCTTTTTTATCCATGTACTCGATCATTTCCGGCCGCACCTCTGTTTTAAGAGCTTCGATGTCCGCTTCTTCAGCGGCCAAAAATCCACCCACTCTTTGGATTCCAATAACAGCATCAGCGGCAGTGCTCAATGCCAATGGAAGCATAAACACCTGCTGGGTCAAGGAGTTAAAAAGAGAAACCGAGGAGAAGATGTCTGCAGGAGACTTCGTAGATCCCAGAGTGGCGTATACAACCAAAAAGGAGGCCATCGACGCGAAAAGTGTCAACGACATCGCCACAGACACAATCATGTTCCGGATCATCTGCATGTTGTAGATGATGTGCATTTCCTTTGTTCTGTTCTCCGTGATGCGATCAAGATATGGGTTTTCCCACGAGTAGAATTTGATCATCTTGAGGTTGGACAATACTTCCTTCATGTAGTTCACGCGAGTATCGGTATACTTGTTGGCACTAGCTCTGTAGGCGAACAATTTCTTGGTCACGAGGCCCATGAGGACAATGAACACAAAAGTGAGACCAATACCAACCATAGCTGATGCGCCGATGTTGTGGCACAAAATTCCAATCGCGATTCCGACAGCCACAGGAAATGATACAAGGAATGGTTGGAAACCCATCGCAAAATCAATCCGCGCCAAGTCTGTACCCATCATCGAAGTGATTTTTGACACTGGATAGTCATGCTTCAGTTGGCCATTCAACTTGAAGGACTTGTCCAAGATAGACTTGGTCAACACAGCTTTTGCCTGGGCACCAGTCAACATGGCATTCTGGAACGTGTGATTCATGAGTAATCCGACCACAAGCACCAAAAAGGAACTTCCGAGGGCGTATCCGACTCCAGACCCCATATTGACGTCGATATCAAGTACGCGGTATTCGACAAACTTGATCAATTCCTTAGTAAGCAATGGCGCGGTGGTGGAGCCAACACTAGCCAACACTAAGAATGTACACGCAAGGGAGTACTGCCATTTGAAGGTGAGGAAAAGGGAGATTGTGAGAAAGTGTTTGGACAACTCGAGATCGCGCACATCATCGGCGTACGGGATTGAGGATGTTTCCATGGTTTCTCCTCTCAGTGTTACCTTGGCAAGTACATGTGCATGTTGCGCTTTTTCCAAACGAGTCCTGAAGATCTCCTGGAATTTCCTGGTCAACGTCTCGACCTTGATATTATCGTTGAGCGTATACATATCGGCCGGCGTCAAGGTCCGCTTATAGCCCACCTTCATGACTGGATGCAACCACCAGAAAAATAGATAGGACAACGGGTTGACCTTTTTGGGGTATTCTCGCCGCTCATTTTCTTCTGGAATTGGCGGAATATTTTTTGAGAGGAATGGCGTCAAGAGCCGTTTCTGCAACTGTAGATCAGACATGTTCTGTGGGATCTAGAAAACTTTGTGTGTTGATGTCTTTAATGCTGGATTTGAAAATGCGCTTTGATTGCTCTTGCGGCACATTGGCCTCTAGTTATATACGCGGGCGCAGATATCGGAGTTGTACTGATTGGGGACAGGCATCGCGGGACGGAACTCAGGCAGGAAGTCGTAAATGCGAGCAGCCAAGCGCACGGTTGCATTACATACAGGCCCTGAGCCGCGCGTATTCAATCCCGAGGCGAAAGGCCGAAGAACGGATCATCGCTCCGTGCGCAACAAACGTGTATGACACATTTCTTTGTTCTAGCGGTCTTTCGGAGTACCGTCATCCAATATCTGATTCCGTGAGAGCAAAATGAAATATGAGGATAAGTCTAGGTTCAGGAGCAAGCGAACGAATGTTGCGGAATAGATTTTATCATCAGCATCTGTGGAGTCTAATTTTCTGGGGCGTACATACGGACTGCCAAAACAGGCTCCTCGGCCGAGACCGCATAATATGAGGGGAGCGTTTTATTAATTACGAGTACATAAATCAAACGATGAGTAATTCTTCCAGTGCGTCAATGTCAGCAAGATATCGAAATCATTGCTACATGATGTTCACACTCAATTTTTAAATCAATGCAGACATGACTTGCCTTTTCTGTCAGTCCTATTTCATTGACGTTTT